CCCTTCTAATGGCTCTCCCCTGCTTTATTATTATTATTATTTTAAATTATGTTCTCCCTTGTTGGGGAACTAAGTAAGTGCTTATATTTGTTCCCTTAAGTGATGAGAGAAGTTTGAAACTCTCTACTGCTTTGAAGACACAGTTTAAAACGCCTTTATAACTGACCAGTGCCACCTCTCCACCCTTATTACTCATCTCTACCCTTCTCCTTTCAGGGCTCAGCTAAGAAATCACATCTCCGAGGATGCCCTGGTTAGGTACAGGCATATACGTTCCCATTGTGAGTTTTATCCATTCTCTTCATAGGAATTACCACAAGGAATGATAGTTTTCTTCTTCCATGCCTCTTTTCTTGCTGAAGTAGGAAGCCCTTGAGGTCAGAAATGAGACAAACTCACTAACATGTCACCAGAGCCTAGTTAATTCTTTACATAAATTCTTGAATTGAATTCACCTTGAAAAAGAGGCCCCTCAGATAGGCATTATTATTGTGGGGATTTCAGAGAAGAGCGATTGAGGCACAGGGAGATTAAATCACTCCAAAGTCAGAGTCCAGCTTTGAAAACCAGGGCCATGGGTCCCAAAGCTCCTGCTCCTTCAGGAAGCTTCACATCCTGTCCGTTACTTTTTTTAACAGCCCTCATGTTTATTGCTTTCTATCCATTTCCACTGACTGTGCTCCTGCTCACACGGTCTGACTCTTCACCCGAACGGGTGCATATTTTTAAGCCATCCTGCTGCCTCCTTTTCTCCCCTCCCCCCCCCACCCCCCCGTGCCTGAAGCGGATGAATATTCCTAAGCCTCAGCTCTCCTCGTGGAGATTCTCCTGCTCGACAACCCTGACTGAAAGCAAAATTAAATGAATTCAGGAAAAGACAGGAAACTAACAAAATTTATGAACAAATTCATGAACTGCTTCTTTGCAATAATAACCAATTAAAAAGAAAGACTTCTAGCAAGGGTAATGAAAAAGAGAGGGAGGAAGGGAGTGAATACACCAATGACAAAATTTGTAATGAAAATGGAGTGTAACCCTTGGTTCAGAGAAGCTGAGAACACCTGTAAGACAATGCCTTATAGAACTTTAGGCTACTAACTTTGACATTCAGGAGGATAACGAGAATTTTTAGAAAAATGTAAATTGTACAGTTTACTTTAAGGAGAAAATTTGAATACACAACTATGAACACAACTGAAGAAAAGTTATCAAAGAGCTATTCCCAGGAAAACAACTGAACCTCTCTCATTTCCACAGGTAATGGTTTCAAGCAACTGATCACTGTGATTGTACTTAAACACTTCCAGAACATGGAAAAATATGGAAAGGTATTAAGAACTTATTTTGTGAAGCCTTGATATTTAAATCTGAGAAGAATAAAACAACAACATACACCAATATTATTTATGAACATGGTAGCAGAGAGGACTAGCTATCCATCAAAATTTATGCTCCCCTTCCATAGTGTAGAGATATTGCTGGGAAATCGCTGTTCAACCAAGAAATACCTTTCCCAGCCACATGTACTATTTTCACAATGGAATGGGAGTGGTAGGATGTGTTCATTTCCGGTAGAGGGTTTTAAATATGTGGGTGGGCCTTTTCACTCTTCCTTTCCCCTTCACTGGCTGGATTCAGAGGATGATGAGACTCTAAGGCCCAGGTTGGCAAATGATGGCCTGTGAGCCTATTGTCTGTTTTTGTAAACAAAGTTTTATTGAAACACAGCCATGCCCTTTGTTTACTGATTGCCTATGGCTCCTTTTGCTTTACAAGGGGTGAGTAGTTGTGACAAGCAGCTTAGAGAGCTTAGCTTATTTACTCTCTGGCCCTCTGAGGGAAAGTCTGCTACCCCTGCTCTTGGGGATGGTGCAGCAGCAAGACTGAAGAAGCCTGTGTGCCTGAAAGATTTGCCATTAAGGGAAACCTTCCCTGGACTGTTTAAGAATAAGACATAAACTTCTATCATTAAGCTGCTGAAGTTTTGTGATTTGTTTAGCCGCTACCCTTAACCCAACCAATAATAAAATAGATGCAAAATCTCAGACAAAATACCAGCAATTTCTAGAAAATTTTTTTTTCCCAGAAACGCAAGGTGATTAGGAAAGATAGCAATACCACAGTACTAGATCAAAGAAGAAAATCCATGTGATCATCTTTTCATGCTTGTTGAAAGCGTTTAAAAAACTCAACATCTATCTTATAAACTACTCTTAGTAGAATAGGATAGAGAAATATTTCCTTAGAAAATCTATCTATGGCAAAAACTAATATGATATATAGAAAGTAATGATTAGAGAAATTCCCATTTGTGATAGAAACAAAACAAAATGTTACATTAACATAATATAACAAAAAACATAACATATATATATAACAATATAATACTGCTTTTGAAGCACTGGCAATGTACCAATAATAATAATTTTCTGCTATGTAATATATTAATAATGATTAAATTATATAACATTATTTATTGCATAATATAAAATAATATAAATTATATGTGCTTTATGTAATTCATACATAGAATTTTCTATATGATATAAATCTACATATGATATAAATATTTTATATATAATGAAATATAAGATTTGTATAATATAGTATATTGTATTCTATAATTTATGTAAAACATAATTTACAAATAAAAATATGTAATATATAATGTATAAATAAAACATGAAAATTATATATAACTTATGTATGAATATACTGTACATAGTTTTAAAAATGATATTAATTATGTAATATATTAATAAAACCATGATGTTGCTTTTTAAGCTATAGGCCAGTCCACCAAGGTAGAAATAAAATGAAACAGGAGGCAAATTTTCACTATTTGTAGACAATATGATTGTACATCTAGACAATCTAAGATAAATGGAGAAACTATTGGAACTATTAAGAAAATCTTCAAAGGTGCAAAATTAATAGGTTTCCCATATGTCAGCAATAATTGATGTGACTTGAGTAAAAAGCCTTACTAAGGGAAATAAAAGAAGACGAATTGGTGGAGAGAGATACTGTAGTTGTGCCTCAGAACAATTAATATATTTCAAACATATGAATTCTCCATAAATTAATCTATAAATTCACTGAAATCCCAAACAAAATTCTAACAAAACTAAAATTGGAATATTTTAAATTTTCTGATTTTAAATTTCACCTAGCAGATACATACGAGAGTAGCCAAGAAACAGAAAGATGAAACCAACATAAAGAAACTTGTGGAGACAGACACTAAAACAAATCGTAAAACATATCGACAAAATTGTGGAAAAATAAAATTAGACGTGTCTCTTAAACCATGTACTTAAATAATTTCATACACACTAAAGATTGAAATATAAACATGAAGTATCTAAACGTTAGAAGACAGTATAGGCGAATAATTCTATATTCTTGAGCTAAAAAATGTTTTTAATTAAATGATAAATTCAGAAACCACTAAGAAGAAGATGAATGGGTTTAACTATATGGAAATTAAAAGCTGCGATAGGTAAAATACACTGTACACACAATAATGCAAAGGATGAGCTGGTCAAAGGATGCAACACCTGTGACAGATGGAGGATTAGCATTTTTTCCTCCTTATATATAAATAGCTTTTCGAAGCAGTAGGGTGAGAAAATGCCAGTAGAAGAAAGAGGAATAGCCACGAATTTCCAATGACAGAAAACCACATGGAAAAATATAATCTCACCATAAACCAAAGAATGCAAATTAAAATGAGATCTTTTGCCTATCATATAAAAAGCAATCATAAATTTACACGCATGGAATAGAATGTTTTAAGAAATTAGAAGAGATGCCCAATGGAGATCTTTTCCTGTCGTAGATCTTATCAGAGCAAAGATGGACACAGTGCACAGTTGAGTAGGCTAGTCAAAGTTAAAGGCACAGGATAATTAGTGTGGACGGAGAGAGTAGAGGAGAGGCCAAATCACAATGGGATATTTAATGGGCACTGATGGGTGAGCGTACTGTCCCTTCTAGAGTTGATATTTTCATATTTACATCTTCCAAATACAAAATTCATGTGGCCTTTGAATGGGTGGGTGAGAGCAAGATTTTAGAATGTGGATAATACACTTGATGATAAGTTTAAAAATGAACTTGTGTTCAATAAAACGTCTTTATACATACTTTCTGACAATGTGTCGAAACATTTAAATGTGTATTGCTTACTAAATATCAATAATCTCAGAGCTCTCTGTGGGCATCATTGGAAGGAAATCAGTTTGCCTATGGGGATGTTAACTCCCCTTTCTTCCTTCTATCGTAGTTTTCCCAGGTCCACCCCAAAACCTCTGTGAATGAATTCAGTGCACTCAGGCTGTTTGAGTTTATTTGGTCTCAATCGTTCAAAAAGTCTACAAAATGATTTTACACAGTTTATGATAGAATTAATGTTTATGTCTCCTCCTTGAGTATTTGTACCTCACCCTTTTAGAACACATGAGGGTTGTCAAAGAGTTTTCCCGTGCTTATATAACCTGAACCTCACTCCCAAGATCCTATGAGTTGGGCCTAGTGGATATTGCTATCTCCAACTCAGAGAGGTAAAGGGTCTTGGGAAAGCCTCGACAACAGCAGCCAAACTGGGCTTAGAGTTCAGGTCTTCTCACTCAGGTCCAGTGCTCTTTCCACTCTAGGAATCCACTTCCCTCTAAAAGAGGAAGGCTAATGAGGGCCGTGACTCCTAAGTGATGGATCCCTGTAGAGGAGGTATTTTGAGGACCACCTCAAGTCGGGTTCTCAACCCGTTTGACTAAAACACAAGTGGTCTATGTTAACCTGACCTTGGAGGGTGAGTAGATGAGAGTTTCTTCCTCACTCTCAGGACCTCTGGCTATGGGGAATGTTCTGGGACAGCAACCCACAGCATGACTCTTGTCTAGCGAGAGACCCTCACCCCCAGTGCGCCAGCCTGTCAGCGCCATGGCTGCCCTCAGACCTTGGAACACGGAGAGAAGCGTGCCATTTGTTGTAACTACCTTTTATGGCCTCTTTCACAGCAGAATCAACAGGGAGTATGTTCTTCTCCACCAGCTCCAGGGGCCCTGGCCGGAGAGCAATCTTTTCATTGAGATCATCGGCGAGTCGGGCTCTTTTCAGCTTCATCTGAGCAGTTGGAATAGACCTCTCTGCAGTGGAGGCTGAGGGGTTGAAATGAAGAGCATCAGTTCTAGAATTCAATGTTATTTTTGGGTGTTTTTTTTTTTTTTTGCTTTTGTAACCAAAGCATTGCATCACATTGTGCTCTATCATCCTAATAATTTTTCAATGCAATCATCATCATCTCCCATGGATTAGCAGCAACACTAGACACTTCCAAATAAAGGCAAATAGAGAGTCAGATGCCTGGAAAAGTTAGAGAAACTTGCTTTGTGAGGATTTTTGAAAAAATGTGAAATTTGGCTATTCTATAAGCAAGCAGTCCACAGAGCCCACGTTGCCTGCTGACCCTAAGCTCCAGCACTTGGATGCACATCCTGTCTGTATGTTTCCCGGCACAGGCCGAGCCTGCAGTGAATATTATCTATTATTATAATTAGTTGTAGTAGAATGACCTCTTCAGGGTCTTGTACTTGTCGATGTTGTGATACTGACTGATTCAAATGTCCAGGTCAGATGTAAAAGAAAACAAATTCCTTTCAAACAGTTATTTAATGAAACAGAGGGATTTTTAACAGTGAATTTATCCAGCAGGCAGTTTCCCCTCATTCAGAAGGTGAGCAAGGCCACTAGCAGAGCCCTAAATCACCGCTCTGTGCCCCTTGCCGTGAGGCCCTCACCAATTTCTGTGGAAGAACTTGGAGCAGAATCTAGTCACCTGGTTGGGGCTCTAATGCAGAGCTGTAAGTTAAGATTCCATAAGAGTTTGTAGCTTTACTGTCAACTTTGCAAATTTAGAAGGTGAGATATTGACAACACAAGTCTCCCAGCCCCATTGTTCTATTATTATCAACCTACTAACCCAGGCCTAGTATCTGGCAGCTGATCTAGAAATCTCCGAACAGGAGAAGTCTAGTGATGTTTAATTGCTGCAACAGGTCAGACTTATCTAGAAACTGCATCTGCAAAGCACTTGACGTGAGATGGAGAAAACATCAATGCTCCAAACCAAAGAATGGGCGTGCCTAAGCCTAAACCCTCTCCAAGTCACGCTGCAGGTCATTGCAAGGGCTTTTTGCTAACCCCTCTGCCTCAGGGATCTTTCTGAGCCATCCTGTGATGGAACACAGGATTAATCAGAAAACACTCCTTTCTTGCATCTCCCTGAAAGATGGTCGTCTTCATCCAAATGTCTCAGTCGGGTTTTGCAAGCTCGCCACAAACTCAATCCACTCCCCTCACCACCTGAGGTTCTCCCTCACCAGCCCACCACCCCAGCAAGCCTCGTCTTCTTCCTTCTCTCCCTCATGTCTTACTGAGTTCACTTTCGCACCTTTGTTCACTTAGCTTCCCCACCCTGGAGTGCTTCCCACCTTCTCCCAACCACCACCGTCTGACACTTCTTTCAGATCTCAGCAAAGAGCCTCTTAACTCCTCCTGCTGTTACTGGATCCCTTTGGCTGTGACTGCCTGTAGCAGTTATAAGCATTGGCCATTACTCTTATATTACTGATTCTGAAATTAGATAGTGAACTCTTGGATGGCAGGCGTCATTTTGTATCTAGGGGATTCTTGGTGCTCCAGGGGACTATTTCCCAATTTCTGTTGGGGAGAAGAGAAGATTCCATGGGAATCACCAGAGACACACAACTGGACTGAGACCTCTGTGATTCACAGCCTGATATTTTAATTCAAGACTGTAATAAATAACATTTCTTATGCTTTTTTATTTGCCAAGGAAGATTAACCCTGAGCGAACATCTATGCCAATCTTCCTCTATTTTCTATATGAGTCGCCACCACAGCATGGTTGACAAGTGGTGTAGGTCTGTGCCCAGGATCCGAACCCACAAACCTAGGTTGCTGAAATGGAGTGCACCAAATCCTACCTCTAGACCATAGAGCTGGCCCCTCTTATGCTTTTTTGATTATAGTATTACTACAGACTCATTGTCATAAGTGTGGAAAATGCTAAAAAAGTATACAAAGGAAGCAAGGCATTAGAAAATTCCCCACTTAGAGTCAAATGTTTTTAATAGGTAGGTGTCTTGCTTAATTATTTCCATTTATCATTAGGGCTATTTTTTTAAATCACAGAATCTGACTGTGAAGCCAGTTTATGTTATGTTTTTTCATCCCAGAATTCGACTGTAAATACAGGGTTTTTTTCTGGTCTTTTCTCTGAACGTCATTTTGTAAGCCTCCTTTTATTAAATCATTATTCTTTTAAAGCTTTATTTGTAGTGGCTGCAAGGGTGATGCATGATTTATTCATCGAAGCCTCTATTGTTGGACATCTCACTGTTTCCAATGTTTCACCATCTAAACTAACTTCACAGTAAACATGACTGTACATAAATCTTTGTATGTCTGATTATTTTCTTTGGATACACTACTAGAAATTTATTACTGTGCTAAAAGGTGGACACATCTTAAAAGAATTTGATATATGTTGGACAATCCTTCTGTGCTCAGAGAGAGTCAGAAAGTGGCACAGCTAAGATTGGAACCAAGGTCTGATACCTTCTTAGCCATTACATGGCTTCCCAATTTGATTGTCTACTGGGGCCGAGAATGACTAGATGACTGCTCAAAATTGCCCCTTTGTAATGGCATGGGACACTTTTTAAGAGGACTTAGTAACCGTACAGAGACAAAGAACTCTGGAAAAAAGGCCCACCATTTGACGGGTTTATGATTTTGCGCAGCCTTACCTTGGAGTATGTGCATATTAACCAAGTCACCACGGTCGGACCTGTTTCTGACCTTGCGCTTCACGGTGTCTTCAGTCTGGAAGCACAATCACAGAATAAATTCTGATATTAACCTCACACAGGTGAATCACCCAGTTTTAACTTTAAAAGAAACCCAATTTCTCTCAAAGGGGAAAAGTATTCTTTTTATGACAAATGGAACATAAAATAGAGAAAAATATCTCTAGTCTCCTATCTTTGATGCAGGAACACTTAAACAAGACTCCCCAGTAATTTTAGGATGGAAAAATGAGATAAATGGTAAAAAGCTTGGGTCCGCATGAGGGCTACAAATTTAAAGGCCAGGCAGGTACATAGCAATAAAATATTAATAAAACTGTGACGATACTAAGCTGTACTAGAATCAATTCTATTCCATTACTTCTTAAAACAGCACAAAATTAATGAGGGTCAGAGACAAAATGTAACTGAGTCCCTCTAAGTACAACATGACAACACATGCGCTCCTCCATCATTTGCCCGACTTCTCTCTTAGCACCTGTGAAAATGGTGAAAATGTCAAGCCTGCAGATGGATTCAGACCCACTGTGAGTTGGAAGGACACCTAGAGAGAGATTATCTGCCGAGTCTCATCATCTCCCTGAGGATGGAGCTGTCCGCAGGGATGATGTGAGCTGGGGCAGAGCCACGTCGGCACCTCAAGTCCCTGATTTCTAGTCCGGGAGTTTTTATTCCACTCTATGGGATCTCCTATATTGTCCCTCTGAGGGTCAGACCTGGATCACTCCAGTTCCAATAAAAAAAGGTATTCTCCAGGTAGTAGGCACCACAGCCTCTCATGGGTAACTTTGAAGAGTTCGAGAGCTCTGCCCTTTCTCCACCCACAAACGAGTTGTGAGGCTAGAACTCTTAGACAAAGAAATCCCAGAAGACACCTCCTTTGCGTTTCCTTCTCATTTACAGTGCTGATGCTTGCTAAATAGTATTTATATGATTGATAAGTTCAGGTTGCAGAGTTATGCTAAGACGGTGCAGGATATATGACAATTTCCCCCGTGAAATGCTAACAAAAACCTCTAGAAGCAGGAAGAGAAATAAACTCAAGGCCTGTTGCCTTTAAGTAACTGCGAATAAACTTGGTATCCTCAGGCCCTCCCTTACCACTGAATGGGATTTTAAAAAATCTGACTGTTGCTAAGAAAGGACTACAATGAAAGGTAAGGCAGCTTGTAAACCAACTTTCCCTCCTTTTTTAAAGTCTCTCTGATTTCTACGAAGTCCTTGCAGGGATTGCCCAGACATTAGAAAGACTGGGGATACCTTTTTGAAAGCAGTTTGAAAGCTAATGTAGTTGATCCCATTTCCACAGTTTCCAGTTCATAGGAGTAAGATTCCATATGGCATGGGGGCAGGGAACCAGCAAATTGGTTGAGTTTCTTGTGGAAATTCTACCTACTTCAGCCAAAGCTTGGCATTCAGAGATCCGTAACCTGGAATCCAAGTTCAGGAAGAGGGCAGTTTGCAAAAAATTACCTTGTCACTGTCCAAACGTTTCCTCTGCTCATGGGACTCAGTTGGACTCTTCAGTGCTGAAACAGAAAGACAAGACGTGAGCAGAGGTGGGCTTAGGGGCACGGAGCCGCATCACAGTACTTGCTGGTGCGCTTGCCGAGCTGTGCACAGTATGAACGTGATCGCCTTTATTAGGCCACAAGCAATTGAAGAGGAAAGGCCTGGAGGACACCAGCTTCCCTGAAGCCATAGGATACAGAGGAAGGTGGAACTTAGGCCTCAAAGAGAAGGAACAGCAGAGGCAGAATACGCGACAGGAAGAGCAGTGGCGGAGACAGGGCATTCCAAGTTCCTGAGGAAATACGGGGGCCTGTGGAAAACTGCGGACGGAAGTAACATTCTAGTTTGAGGGAGACGGGTAGACTGGGGTAAGTAACACCCTCTTTGACTTTGCTCTGCCCTTGAGTGCAAAAGCCTGGGTGGAGGCTGTGGTCCGTGAGAGAGGAGTCTCACACTGTAGAAAGGGACGTGCACTTCGGATAAGATATGTGGCTGGCTGGCCAGGACATGCAACTAAGGGTGTGGAGTGAGAAGCACAAAATTTTGAGACTTTGAGGGCTGGAAGGGACCTTGGAGATAGTGAAATACAACTCCAACCCTGCACAGAATGGGGAAACTGAAGTCCACAGAAATTGGTTGACTTGCCCAGGGTCACACAGTTAGGACTAGGAGCCTTGGTCCCCTGACAACCTAACTTCTTTCAAAGTGTGATGTTCATAATATTAACAATCAGAAGCGGCAGGCCCTGGTCCATCATAGCACACAGCAGCCATAAACAGCCTGGACCGAATGCCCGCTTCCATTCTTTCCACTGTTCGCTGTTGCTCCTCCTCACTGTTTCACAGCGCTCTTCATGATGATTTAGCAAACTCTTTTGACTTAGCAAAGCCGTAGGACATCATTCAGCAAAATTCTACGTTTTTTTATTACTTTTCCTGATCCCCTGGAACGATCTCAATCAGGAGCCACAAGGAGTTGCTTTTCATTCTAAGTAATGAGGTTGATCAGAGGTTACAGAATCGCACTGAATATTTTTCTGAATTGTAAGTCTGGACAAGTTCATGAATCACATGATCCAGAATTCTAATATTACTCCAACAGATGTCCACTCTTAAGCTGCAGGCAACGGAATACTCTTCTAAACTTTGGCCAGCACAAAAAATTGGGTTTCTGGCCAAATTAGCACTGGGGCCCATGTGTGTGTCATTGTGTATGCCTCATTCCGTCCTTAAGATCGTGTTAGCGTGAGCATAGTTTTTAGAAAGACTTGCTGGGCATCAAGCAAACTCCATTGCAGTCCTGGCGGCTGGTGGGCCATGTCATCCTCTATTGAGGGCACTCTTTGGGAAGCTACTAAGGCTCGATCTCTCTAAATCTCCCTGCCTCACCCCACCATTAACAACGTTGACCAAAGGAACGTGCAGAATAGCCCCAGCTGGCTGCCCCGTGCCAAGTACACTGGACAAGCACACTTCTCCTCACTTTGAGCAGAGATCAAAAGGCTTCCTTTCTCACAGGAAAAAAAAAATTAATTATGTTGCTTGAATATGACATTTCTGATTGATTTAACGCCAGTTTCTTTTTGCTGCTTTCACTCTTAAAATGGGCTTTTCTGCAAAACCTGCCATTTCAAATGGCCCTTCCTCTCCCGCTCCCCTATTTGTCCTCACTTGGTGGCTCTGAGAAATTTCTCCAGTGGCATCTGGAGGAATGTGCAGTTCTACTGTGTCACTCATGCATTTTCTCTGATTTGGGTCTGGTTGCCATCCTCAGTAAGGAGGCTTGCCTTTTCCAACATTTAATCAAAGTTGCAACTTATATTGATGGTGTTCTGAGAGCAACTCCCATTTCCCCCGGCAACTAGATACTACAAGTCTGCTTGAAGTCCAGCGGGCCCTGGTGAATCTGTACGATCTGAACTGGTAGGTCTTCACCTCTGACCTGCAGTCTGGCGAGCATCTAATTAGGTATGATGTATTGGTGTGGCTTAATGACTTACATAATCCAGAAAAGGAATCCATTGTAGTGTGGTCTTATTAAGTGGTTAAAAAGAATAACACATCCTTTTCCTGAAGAAGCAACCCTAAGGGAATGGTATGAATTGAGATATCACTTACATTCCGTCTCAATTGGTTTTAATTGGACTTGGGACTTAGGAGGAATTTATTCGGTTCTCTTGTATCTGAGGCTTTTCAATGCTTATTAGTGTTGATTACTAATCATTCTAAGAAACATCATGTTTCCTGTATCTTAACCTGTAGAGCTATAATTCATCACTTCTTGGTGTTAACAACTCCTCTGTGAAATGATTCTCACAGTCTAGTTCTCCAATGCCAGAAGCACAAAGGTCTTCTGGAAACTTCTACCACAGGGTGGGAGAAGGCCTGTTCATTTATCAAGAACTTGGGAAGAAAGCCAAGGAGGTCCACACACTGCATTTTACCACATGCTATTCTCCTCAGGGCTTAAGAGATGTTATATGGGGCATTGGCTTGAGGTCACAATGGAAAACTACCCTGCCGTGGTCCTGTGATTGCCATTGGCCTTTTCTCTGACTCCTGAGAATGTGGGTTTTAGCCACTTTCCCTAAGGGCCAGCAAAAGCCATAATGCACCTCACCCCCAAGGTTGGCTTTTTAGAAAATACATAAAGGACCTCCTTTGCTGCCAGCCCTGGCAGCATCAAATGGCAAAGTTTTGTATTTAAGGGACATTGACATTTAAGATTGAAAAGGAATTTGAATTTCTAAATTAAAAAAAAATACGTCCATGTGATTTCAAATTAAAATATGGTTGTAAATTCAGTCAGCCACACATCTAACTTATTCCCCCTGGAGGAAGATTAATCTCTTCTCACAAGGGAATTCATGTTCTCGCCTCAGAATTCAGTTACGGGCTGTTCCTATTTCTGTCCGTGCAGCTCCAGCTAACTTGGGTCAGCTGTGTGTATAAACATTTGCTTACTTAGAGCTCAAAAAAAGATCCCAAGATAAGAACAGGCCTCCTACAGTCCCCTGCTCTCAACTTTAACCTCATGCCTCCAAGAGGAGGCCAGAAAAAGGAGAAAATAGGCTGTGGGGCCACTGAGAACTCAGTTAAGGGGAGGGACCCGACTCTCTAACACAGGGTAGCGGGTCTGGTGTTGGTGCAGCTGGCCACAGAGACAGGGCTGTGCCTGACTTCTCTCATGGGGCTGCTCACTCCCAGGCTGGGAGGGGAAGAATCCAACTCCTTGAGTATTATGGATAAGGTCCTAGAGGCAGAATCAAAGAGCCAGTGTCCTAGGGTAGCAACGGGAGCAGTGGTTCTCAAAGTGTGGCCCCCAGACCAGCATCTGCAGCATCACTTAGAAACTTGTCAGAAACGTCAATTCCCAGGCTCCACCCCACAGAATTCCACACGCTGGGGGTGGGGCCTGGGGATTTGTGCTTCAACAAGCCCTCCCAGTGATTTTGATGTGCAAGTTTGAGAATCACTGCTCTGGAGTGTCGAAGGCCAGTGGGTCCTGATCTAGGGTCCTTGGGAATCTAGGAATTCAAAAAGGGACTAACGGATTTCTAAGACTGATATTTGGCATTTCAAAAAGCTGAAGAAAAAGGGTTATGTTTGCCCAGAGAAACACTGCTTGGCTAATGCAACTGTCACTTTTCATTGTTGCTGCCTAGGATGATAACAACTTGGTATAGTTATAGTTATTCTGATCAAACAGCACTGGCTGGTAAGCATAAATGCCATTAATTAATCAAAAACAGATGTATGGATTAATAATTCCTAAATGTAGGGTTCTTTGGAGGGAAGACAAAACTATTTTAAACATAGGCTCTATGGCAGTGAGGGGTATAATTAGAGAAGTCTTGGGTGACTAAAATTTGGAAACCAGCCACGTGGACTCTGTCTTCGATTTGCCATCTATTTTTGGTATAACCTTAACCAAGTGAGATAGTCTTCCTGGGCTCTCAGTTTCCCATGTATAAAATGGACTTAGTAATGCTTGTCCTCTCTTGGTCTCACTCTTAAAGACAAATTGGATCATGAATGTTTTTCTTCCAAGCAAATGGGTGCATGCTATGCATAAGTGATAATACTCTGGAAATTATATTCTCTCTCTAGGATGGCAATACGTTGCCTATTCAGTACCCAAATGACAGTCTCGGGGGCGGTCTGCAAATAGCGCACTTTCCCAACGTAGCTTTGTAATATTTAAGACCTGGCTTGCACACTTGGAGAATTTGAGGCAACGTACGTGAATACTTTGGAATTTCTCAGAAGAAAGACAAATGCAAAGTGTGCCTGTACTTACTGGTTTACTAGTTTCGAAGGAACAAGGAACTGGAAAATTGAAGGAGGAGGGGTGGAAAGAAGGAGGAATTGATGATTGTTGACCCAAATGGGCTTGCCCTGAAATTCCAGGGTGCCTTTTCCTATCTCTGAATTTGAGATGTTAGAAAGAAGGGAAGAGGCAGACAGATTAAAACCCTTGTGCCGTGTTCTGCTCAAACAGCCAAGAGTGTGTGGCAGGGTGCTGTAGGGAGAAGCCAAGTCAGATGAATGCATGGAGGAAAGGAAGAAGACTTTGCCCAGTCAACTTCTCAAAACTATCAAGAAGCTGCATGTGGTGTGGGGACAGGAGCTGCCCCAGTCATTCTTCTTGCTATTCAGGAGAAGGATCACAGAATTCAGGGATTTACCAAGGCTTTGCAGTAAGTATGTGGCTGCTGTGGCTTGGATTAGTCTGCAAAACAAATAAAGGCAGCACCATTCATAGACAGCTCATCGTATCTTTAAATTCACTTACATCGATCAGATCATGGAACCAAGCTGCCCAGACTTTCACTCTGGCCAGCGGCGGCTTTCTCTGAGTCTCTGTGGAGAAGTCACAGCCTCTCTGGGTCCCTGGTCCTCCACAGTCCATTCCAGTTCCCTAATCTTGTTTTGTATATTCCAGGAGAATAAGCTAAATGTTCCTCCTCTTTCCCCTGGGTTCCGATAAAATATTAGCCCCACTTTAACAGCAGAGGGAGAGGGAAAGAGAAAGTAACTTCTTTCCTTCAATCCTCCCAGAACTCACTCCCATGTAGTGGTGTGACGCTGTTCAATATTTTTAAAGGGGACAATTAAGCAGGGGCAACTTGGGGCCCCATCTACACTGTGACTGCTTTGAAGCAGAATTCATGTCTGACTCCTCTGTTCCGTATGGCCTTCCTCACAGCAGATGGTCAAAATATCTACTGAATTGCCCTACGACCCTCGATTACATCTAATTCATGTAGCTGACCATCCTTCTGCACTAAGGCTTCTGGAGTGGTTGGAATACAACGGTGGTGTTTAAGATTCTACCCAGGAGAGTGATGCCCAAGGAAAAGAACTGTAGTGGAGAAAACTTGTATGAGATACGCTGAACAGATCCAAGCCCCTTCGGTCTACAAGGGGAGGAGGTTGGGCTCTGTCCTGAAGTCATGAGAAAACGGAGAACCTTGATGTCATCTTGCAGCCTTGAGCCTGAAAGGGAGGGGCAGTGATGCCATCCTTTTGAATTCTAGTTGATGGCAGCAAAGTAGGCAATTTGAAATCTTCACTTTGATATTCAGACTTGGGATTTTGGAGAGAAGTCCAAACAATAAATTCTTAATGTTTCTAAGTTAACTTCGAGAGGATATTTCATGACTATTTTGAAATTGTAAATTCCACAATTGATATTAAAAATATGAAAGCAATGTTAGAATCTGGCCTGGACACATGCTCCTGGCCTGAGAACCTTTTTCCACTGTTTAAAGTTGTTCTAGGGGTTCTGGGCTGGCCTCAACCCTGCTTTTCTTGACTAAATTCAAGCAACACTGCCTTTAAATTCATTCAAAGCACCTGAAGGGGACAATCCTAAACCCATAATGTATACAAGTAAGAAATAAGTAAATGCTTAAGAGAAATGATTAAGGGGGTTATAAAAGAGAATTTGTCCCTGTTTGCGGTGGACCCTTTGTTAATCATCAGCACTTCAAAACCTGCATGGCCAAGAAGGAGGAAGGCATTAAATTCAATCCATCTGGACTAGTTTCACTAGTTGACTGAAAATTACACATGGTTCAGTTCATTGGAGTCAGTGAAGGGAGAAACCTTATAATTTAATCATCAGTTTGGGGTGCAGTTGAAGTGAGATCTGCCATACAGCCAACTCAGTGGAATTTTTCAGTCACTCTTGGTCATGGTGACGCATAGATTATGATGTAGAACCTGAAGTTATTTCATTAAAACCATTGGTTTCCCTGGGCATTTTCACACATATATATTTTTTATTTTCCAAATTCCAACTGAATTTTTTGGCCACAAATATTTGATGATAGAAACTTAAGTAAGTGCTTTTAAAGTTCAAGTAATTCCTTTTGAATATTTGAGGAAAGAGCCCCATGCATGGATCAGGACACACGGGGTCCGGCCTCAGCTCTGTCACAACAGGAGGAGAGGACATTTTTTTGCAATAGACAATGTCCTTGAAATTTAACCTAATGTAAAACTCAAGACTGATTCTGCCAAAGGATAACAGGCGTTTCTGTTGAGCAGCTAAAGGCAGTCGTGCGCTACAATGATAACACGAGGACAATTAACAATTCATTTGGACGTGAGCTTTCAATTTAGCTAAATTTATGACAAGTTTTAAAATTTGGGGAGAGAATTGCAATTATTCCAAATTTACGGATACAGTGAGATTGTATTAACAGTTTTATTGTGCATACATTTAAAATCTCACAGTTCAAATTTGCAGAAAATAGGACCACATTGGGACCTGGCTTGGGGACACTGAGAAAATCTCTTGGGACTCTTCAACCTGAGTTTCACGACCATTAAAGACAATGGAGCTTGAATGGGGTCAGGGGTTTTCAAACTATTTTGAAGAGAGCCAGCTCTCTGGGTGGATAATCAGGGGCATCTACGAAGGATGAGGGGGCTGAGTGAATGCGACAGAGGCCCCTGACCCTGTTTCAGCCAGTGCATATATACACAAGATATCTTTAACAATTAAAAAAATTGAAAATCATGGAATGAGATGATCTCTAATGACTATTGACTTTTCTTCCCTCCACTCTACCCTCTTCCTTTCTCCTTTCTTCTTTCCTTCTGCTTCAAAAAATTCAAATAATAGAATGAAGAAATAAAAGGCCTTCTGGTGGAATGTAACAAATTCCACCTTGAATTATACTTATGTGTATTTCTTTCACCTTTTCCCCTAAAATCTTGAGTCTCTCCAAAGGACTGTCTTGCTCATTGTTGTCCCTATAGTACCCGGCACACTACTGTGCATATAGTCTGGTTCATAATAAAATTTGTTGAATTTGATTGAACTGAAAGGACCCCGAGACTATCGGTTCCTCTTTCCTTCTCTCAATTGGCTGCAGTTATACATGTTTCCTTAGCTGCCTGAGTAAGCACACGCCACTCTGCGCTGCATTTAGTTGCATGTTTAGTCTCTGATGGGGTTGAAGATGCCAACCATCTCTGCTCTTAATCTCTCAGCAAGTTAAGAGACTCATCCTGAGTCGAGCTTTCTGAGAAGAGCTAAGTAGTCAAGGTCTGTCTGGGCCTGCAGTGTGGGCCTGCTGTGGCTTTGACATTTTTCCACAGCAGAATCTACACTCTTGGAGAGCCTAGTTGAGAGGCGCTGGCTGAAGACTAGGGATAACTGATGATGCTTAATTAAGCTTTATCATTTTGCTGAATTAGAAAGAAAAATCATTTCATTCCTCATAGGACTTTTTTTCCATTAATTATCTTAACGATACAATGGACTATGGATGCAAAATTTCTGTCAAGCAGTGTACTCTACTGGATTCTGGAAAGCTTGGAGAACAGAATAGTATATTCCTATTGGGCCCTACTCCACAAATGGACATTTAATTTACGCAACTTACATAGAGATGTTATTTAAAAATGTATTGTAGGGTTCATTCCTACCTTCATTGGGTGTTTTTACTGATGCCCAGAGATTTAATCCCATGAACCTCAAAAAAAAAAGTTTATTCTCATCCATCATCCAAATACCAGCTGCAAGACCCAGGTTCAGAGTATTTAAGCTCATGAGTAGAACTTTGAATCAGTTGTGAAGAGCTTGAGCTGATGAAAGGCACTGGGTCTATCTGTTCCGTCTGCCTTTCCAGAATTGAGGGAAAGAAACACCAGTGAGGGGCTGGATTATTTTCCTACTACTCAAATCAGTGTGCTCATTATATACTTGAGGGCACATGGTGTAGACTATGGTCTGCCGAGAGGATCCTGGTGGATCTACACTTAGCTACAGTCCACTCTTACTGAATAATTCTTCTAGATAATGGTAACCAAATTAGATTCTACAGATTTGCAAGAGGATTCAGGAAAAAGGATTCAGGTCAGCTCTGAGTGAAGATGCATTTATCTGCAGACCTTTGGTCTCTCCTGTGTTTTCAGCACCTCCACTAGTGGGCTGACTAAGATGAAACAGGCCACACAAACTTGCCCCTTTGGTTTTTTATAATAGTTGTACCTATTGTTTAAGCAGCCTTTAAACTGCAGGGTGAGCTGTGTTTTTTTGTGCTTAGCAAATCTCTAAAAAATTATCCCACTCTAAGGTCACCTGCTGTTTACTGTTTGTAGTGCTTAGCCATTAACCAAGAGCTATTTTTGAATTACAAAAGAAAAGGCCTGAAAAATTCTTAGTTTTGTTCTGGCTCTGAAGCACAGACTATACTCAAAATTTTTAGAAATTGGCTCATAGGGCTCCAATAATACTAACTGCCAGACAATTTATCAAGGGCAAACTTCTGCTTGTTGGATACTAAACTCTCAGGTAATAGTCACAACAGGGACCTGGATTTCTGCAAGAGTCATTATGAATCTTCATTTCTAAACTTCATCAGGGGAGGAAGTTAGAAAGTATAACTTAAAGGAGCTCCAAGTGTGACTTCATCCATCCAGGGCACCCTTTTGCCTACTTCTATAGATAATCAAGAGTTAGCTTTAAATGCTAAATTGATTGGAAATTTCAAACATATCTTCTGAAAGATATGGTAATTCTTTTCTGATCCAAAATATGGCCAATAATTCAACACTATACTATTTATGTCGGAATGATATTGCTATTTGGTATTCCAGAAAGGAAGCACTTGACAATATTCAACTAATTGTGGACTCAAGTACCCCAAACAGGACTGAAACTCAGGAGGTGAGAAAAAGGTGATGTGATTGATGTTTCTGGAATGAATAGAGATAATATCCAATTCCAAAAGTAGGAGAGGGTAAGGGATGCCCATAGCAAATTATCTTTACCCTAAAAACAAACCCACCACTTTGGAAGTTTAAGTACAACCTATATCATTAAAGGGAAGTGCTTGCAGGTGAGTAGCATTTGGGGCAAAGCATTCAAAGTCTGGGATTTCTGCTTACACAGATTCCATGAGGATCGCGGGAGACTGATACATGGGCTTAGACTAAATGACCTCTGAGGTGCTTTCCAGCTCCCAAATCGCATGGTCCCATGGGTAAATATCAGCCAATAAGAGATGCAGCTACTCACGTGGTATTATGCTTTGGTTAGCCAGTTGTTCCTGGGTCCTTCTCTGTTGAAGTCGTAACTGCAAAACTTAGAAAAGGAAGGGTTAGTTGTGAGTTGGGCTAAGTATAGTTAGAATTGCTTACATTTGCATCATACTTTTTTTACACAGCACTTCTTATTTTATTTCTAGAACAGTCTGGAAAGTTTGTGTGAAGTACATTTTTATTTCCATAGTAGACAGAGAGAAAGAAGGTGGAGAGGAGCTGAGGCGGTTGCAGGGTTTTGCAGCAAGGAGGTAACAACCTAGGATTCGAGCCCTTGTCTCCTCTTTGAAGTGAATGTTATTTTTACACCACCATGCTCTCTCTCTCTGCCTACTATAACACTTGGGAGATGAAGACCATCAAACTCTGCTAGAAATTTGCCCCTGATTTCGAAAGGCGAGAGAGAGTGAAGAAAGCATAGGCTTTGGAGTCTCACCTGGGTTCAAGTCCTATCTCTATCCCCTCCAGAGGTGAGTAAATCTGGGCAAGTTGCTTAACCTCTCTGACCCACAGTTTCCTCACTTGTAAATTGGAACTATGTCTACCTTGCAAGATTGCTATAAAGTTTGATAAAACAATGTATGCAAGTGGCTTAGCAGAGTGCCTGGCCATCAATAAATGGTAGTATTATGAGAATCTGGAATCCATCTGGAAATTCAAAGAAGGACTATTCGAGTCATTTTTTGCTAGAAAAATTAAAACATTGTAAATTGTCAAAACCATATATTATAAAAATATGTTACTGTCCTTAGCACAAATAGATTATATATAACATATATTTACATATGTATAAGAAGAAAAAATATATATATATATTAAATTATGAGTGTAGTATTTGTGATTTTCTCCTTCTCCTCACCCTCTCCCCTTAAGAAAATTCTATCTTTGGACATTTAGTCTCTTCCTCATGGACATTTCTCTTTCTCAGGGAGATTCTAAGTTTGCCATCTCGGTTCCTGAGTTTAAGTTGCTCAGAATAAGGATAAAAAGAGCAGAAGTTTGCAAAGAGAGAGATTAGTTTAATCAGCTTAAAATGAAAAGAGATAACAAGAACTGCTTTTATGAAAAGAAAATTAGAACGGAGGGAAGAGGCACAAAAATGAAAAGGCTATGTGGGCTGATTTTCAAGTTTATTTAGTATCTCAGAGTGAGGCTCCAGGGAAAATGCAGTCATAAGACAAACTGACAGAGTAATGGAGAAAGATAATTTTAAAAAGTGTTGCCATGGGTTCTGAATTGAATTCTCACCAACCTTCTTTGGGGGAGACCAATGTTGTTGAAATGCTTTTAATTACTTTTGGTTGCTAGACTGTGCTTCATTGAATAACCTCATATGACTCCATGTTCCGACTGGACAACAAAGAGGACTAAATTATTTTACTTTGTGAATAAATGAAAACGATATGAGAGTTTTTTATTTAAGCCCTCCTTCAGACAAACCCTCACACTAATAAAAACTGTAAACTCTGAACAAAATATAAAAATAACTACCTGAGGAATCTGAATAGTAAACAAGATCAGGCAGATTGTAGAGGAGAGTTGAAACTTGGAGAAGTGACTTGCATGGGGGTGAGTTTCTCACTTGGGGGGAAATTGAGGGTGACCTGTAGTCATGAAGTGGTGGGTCACGGGCAACTAAAATTCCAAGAGACAATGTAGTCATCTTTCTGGCCAGAGAACTCAGGGAAAGGTACTCAGATACCATGGCTGACCAACAGCGACTGAGGGGGAATCACACAAGGGAGAGAGCTGGAAAAGAAAGCAACCCCTTAACGCTGTGTATGAACCCCCACAAGTTTCAGGTTGATCCCTTAATGATGTTTCTATGGGACAGACTCAAAGCAGCACAGCAAAGGTTTAAAATAAAACTGAAATTTGAAGCTCTGTGCATATAGGTAAGAGAGAGCTTCAAATTTGAATCTACCTGGGTTAACTGTGTACTAAAACAAAAAACATGAGCATTCTTCAGAGAACTGTAAAAGAACTCAGAGTCTATGTAACATAAGACTTGTAATGTTCAGGAGAGACTCCAAAATTGCTTTACACACAAAGCACTAGAAAAATGTGACTCATTCTAAATGGAAAAGACAATTAACTGATGCTATCCTTGAGGTGACACAGATGTTGGAATTATCAGAAAGAACCTTAAAGTCATTATTTTCAACTATGTGCAATGAAGTAAAAGAAAACAGACTTGAAATGAATGAAAAGATAGGAATCTCAGCAGCAAAATAGCACACATAGAAAGAAACCAAATGCAAATGTTACAACTTAAACTAGAACATCTGAAAATAAAAATTCACGGAATGAAGTTAATAGAAAAATGAATATCAGAGGAATGATTGATAAACTTGAAGATAGATCAAACTGAAGAAGAGAGAGAAAAATGATGAAAAAACCTGACAAGAGTCTCAGGGCCCTGTGCCACAATACCAAAAAGTCTAACATCAGTCAACTAGAGTCCCAGAAAGAGAGGAGAGAAATAAATAATGGCCCAAAACTTCCCAAACTTGGTGAAAGACAAAAATTTACAGATTCAAAAAGTTCAGCAAACTCCAAACTGGACATATTCACAGAAACCCACATTTAGATACATCATAATCCAAAAGCTGAAAACAAAAGGTAAAGAGAAAATCTTGGAAGTAGCCAGGGAAAAACAACATATTATATAAAGGGAAACATTGATTCAAATAACCACAGACTTCTTATCGGAAACCATGGAAGCCAGAAGGTAAAACAAAAACAAAAACACATCACAGCACAAAACAAAAAGCCTGTCAATCCAGAATAAAATACGTCCTCTAAGAATAAAGGTGAGATAAAGATATGTTCAGGTAAAGAAAGAATAAGATAATTTGTTGGCAGCAGACTTCACTACAAGAAATGCATAAGGAAATTCCTCAGGGTGAAGGGATATGATATCAGAGGGCACCGAACATTTAGGAATGACTAAAAAGGATCAGAAATGATAAATATCTGGGTAAATATTAAAGATTTTTCTTTTTCTTCTTAAGTTTTAAAAAATACATATAGCTATTCAGAGAAAAATTATAACACTGGCATGTGGATGTAATACAGACAACAACTATAACATAAGGGGCCCTTTATGACTGCAAAGTTTCTACACTTGACATTCAGTGGCATAATATTAACTAGATGTAGATTGTGAAATATTACTGATGTATATTGTAATCCCTAGAGCAACTAATAAATAAAAATACAAAGAGGTATAGCTGAAAACACCAATAAATTAAAATGGAATGTCAAAAAATTTACAGATAATACCCAAAAAGGGCAAGAAATGGAGAATATAGAAACAAAAAGTAGAGGGACAAACAGTAAACAAATAATAAAATGGTAGATCTAAATCTGAAAACATCAATAATTACCTTAAGTATAAATGGTCTAAACACTCAAATTAAAAGGCAGAGATTATTGGAAGGGATAAAAAAAGCAATATTCAATTATATGCTGTCTACAAGAGACACAGTACATATATAAAGACTCAGATTGGTTAAAAGCAAATAGATGGAATAAAGATATACCATACAAATGGTAAGCATAAGAAAGCTGGAATGGCTATATCAACATGAAATAAACTTGACTTTGAGTTAGAGTATTACCAGAGATAAAGAAGGGATATTTCATAATTTTAAAAGGGACAATTCATCAGGAAGACCTAGGAATTATAAATGCATAGGCATCTAATAAGAGCCTCCAAATACTGGAAACAAAAATTGACAGAATTAAAGGCATAAATAATCTCAAAATCATACTAGGAGATTTTAAGATCCTTCTCCCAAAATTTGATAGAACTAGATAAAAAAATCACTAATGACATAGGGGATTTGAACAACAATGTCAATCATCATTATTTAATTGATTTTTAGAGGGCTCCACAGCCAGACCTGGTGGTCTAGTGGTTAAGATTTGGTGCTCTCTCCGCCTCGGCATGCGTTCATTTTCCAGTTAAAGAACCACACCACCCATCTGTCAGTTGTCATACTGTGTCAGCTGCATGTTGCTGTGATGCTGAAAGCTGTATCACTGGAATTTCTTAACACCAGCAGGCTCACCCATGGTGGATAGATTTCACCCAATAACTGTGGAACAAACATTCTTTTCAAGTGCACGTGGTACACTCACCAAGCTGTACTAGGCCATACAACAAGTTTCAATAAAATTTTTGAATAGAATGGAACTCAAATAGAATATGTTTTCTGATCACATTGGAATTAATCAGAAATTGAAAGCAATATGCTACTTAGGAAAATATTTGGCACTACACTTCTAAATAATTCATGGGTCAACATAGACGTCACAAGTAGAATCAGAAATATTTTGAACTGAATGATAATAAATATATAATATATTACAATTTATGCAAAACAGCTAAAGCAGTGCTTAGAGGGAAACAGAGTTTTAAGTGCTTATGATAGAGAAGGAGAAATTTGAAATCAATGACCTAATACCATGAATAAAAAAACGGGTTATTACTGAAGACCGTAGATATTAAAAACGATAACAGGAGAATATCATTAACAAATTTGTGCCAATAAATTCGACAACTTAGATAAAATGGACAAATTTCTTGAAAACTACAACTTATCAAAATTTATATTAAAAGAAATATAAATCTGAATAGTGCTATATTTAATAAATAATTGCTTTGATTACCAGAAACCCACTCCCCTTGCCAAAAAACAAAAACAAAAACAAAAAACTCCAAACCCAGATGGTTTCACTGGTGAATTCTATCAAAATGTTGTGATTGGAATAAGTTATTTTCCAAGTTCCCCATCAGATAACTTTCATATTCTACATATTACACCTGTAGTAGATAAGAATCCTCAATTATTTTGTATTTCAATATCCTAGATCTCAATCCAGCAAAGGATAAAGTTCATAGAGCTATCCCACTGCTAGACTCAACCATTTTGAAAACTGTTTCAGTTCTTTAGACATAAGTTATTTTGACTTAGGTTTAGTTTTATTAAGGCAATACAAGTGAAAATAGAAGAGAAAAATATGAAAAAAAATTTG